ATAGACACTCCCTCTGAATGACAACATTACTGATGAGATGACGAACTAATTTATATAAATGAATCCGCTTTAATCGTGTTCGAGATTAAGCCCACAAAAATGAAAATAAAGTTCTAAAATAATATTCTAAATGAAAATACAATTAACTAAATGCAGATGAAATTCTGCCAATCAGGTAAAAAATTTCTCAATTTATCTAAACATAAAATTAAAGATAAAGCCAAATTTAAAAATTCCCCAATGAGTGAGTGAATGGAATTAAAATAGTAGTGGGTGCATTGCTGATCTTCACATACGTGGGGCGACAGATAGATAAATTACTGGAGGATCGAACAAACTCACTTGCACCGCAGCGCCTTCTCCAGCTCCCGGGGCGCCAAGTCGGCAGAGCAGAACGATTGCCGTTTCACTTGCCAGTCTCACGGGGCCAGCCCGCTCTCGAGTTCCGTTAACAAGTAGACCTATCAGACACTTAAGCCAATCCCCACCAGTAGTGACTAGAACAGCTGTACTAGCAGTGGACAGATCAGATTTCACAGAGTCGCTGACAGCAGCAACTGCGGCCACGTCAGATTTGCAACCGCGGGCAGAAAGTCGAGTGCGCCAAGAGATATGACCGGCTACAAAACTGGTCAGGAGTCGAATGTCAGTGGAGTCATGACGCATACCCTGGGCGCAAAGATGGTGGTATCATGAAGGAAATAAGAAGCGATATGGATTGAATAAAGGAAAGTCAAATAATGGAAGCCTAATTAGGTGCTTACCTTAGCAAGTAGTTGCACAGCGGAAAGAAGAAGAGGACTACTGGAATTAGTTTCAACCAGGTAGCCAATCAGATAGCCGAGACAGCGGAGGCCAGATTGAGCGATGTTAAGCTAAACGAGAGATGAGGCAGAGTTGGGAAAATGAGGACGATTTAGGTTCATTCGCCAGGTAAAATTATAGCAGAAGGTATAAAGACCAAGATGGTGTGGTCTTTTGTGTGGTCGCAATCTCCTTTCGTTGCATAGCGA